CTGGTCCAACGCTGCCCTGAGGACCTGGGGGCACCCCATAGAAACCCCATAAGGACCCCATAAAGACCCCAAAGGGACCCATAGGGATGCAGAGACCCATAGGGACCCATAGAAACCCCACAGATCCCCTATGGACCCACAGGGACCCCATAGAGACCCACGGGGACCCATAGAGACCCATAGGGTCCCCTTAGAGCCCCACAGGGACCCCATAGAGCCCCATAGATCCCATATTGACCCATAGGGACCCCATAGAGCCCCACAGTTCCCATATTGACGCATAGGGACCTACAGGGACCCATAGAGACCCATACGGACCCCATAGATCCCATATAGACCCATAGGGAACCATAGGGCCCTCATAGATCCCATACTGACCCATAGGGACCCCATAGAGACCTATGGGGAAACCCCTACAGATCTCACAGAGAGCCCATAGGGACCCCATAGATCCAATACTGACCCACAGAGACCCCATAGAGCCCCATTGATTCCATATTGACCCATAGGGACCCCATAGAGCCCCATAGATCCCATACTGACACATAGGGACCTACAAGGACCCATAGAGAGCCATAGGGACCCCATAGATCCCATATTGACCCATAGGGACCCCATAGAGCCCCATAGATCCCATATTGACCCACAGGGACCCCACAGACACCCCACAGGGACCCCCTAGAGATCTATGGGGCACCCCACGACTCACGTTGGAAACGAAGACTTCGCTCTGCCCGCTTTCCAGCATCTCCTCCAATTCCTCATCGGTCACCGCTGAGTTCCCGGCTGTGGGGCGCCCCATAAATCTCAGGGGACCCCAAAAGATGGGGCCAGACCCCCCAAAAAAACCCATAGGGATTCGCCCAGAGCCCCCAAACCTCGTGAAATCGGCCCCAAATCCCACTGAGAGCCCCCCAAAGCCCCATTAATGGCCCCCAAACACAATTAATAGACCCCAAACACAATTAATAGACCCCATACACAATTAATGGCCCCCAAAACCCTATTAATAGACCCCAAAGCCCCATTAATAGCCCCCAAACCCAATTAAT